CCCACCCCCATCTATTGCCCCCTTCTCTTCTAATCCTGCCCACTTGGTTGCTTGGCTGTTTCTGTGAGAGGACAGACTCCTACCTTCAATTGCCAGCCAGCGACCCTGCTGGCCTAACCCCATTTACACCCACCAGCCCTTGGTAATTTTTCACTGAGCCGCTGCCTGCTCTCTCCTCCTCCCTACTCTCTGATTCTCCCTTGAAAACCCCCGGTCACCACTAGGCAAATCACTGCAACTCAGCCCTTTCCCCCACTGTCAGCACTAACTGAATAAAACCTGTTTTCGCTGCTCACACGAATGCCTGGCTTGTTTATCTTTAATAGCTCCATTCAAACAGGCTATTTGGTGACCAGCAGATTTTCCTCGATAAGTTAAGGTTTGAGGTTGTTTGTTTACTTTGCAAAGATTGTTCCTTAAATTGTGACACAGAGGCAGAGCTTAAGGAGGCAGCCAGTGGGCCGCCTCCCAAATGCAGATTGGTCACCCTCTGGAAAAGAGGGCTGTCCTCCAGGAGTGGGAAGGGACTGGACAAGGAAAGGGAAGCCCACGAGCCAAGCCCCCTTTGGCTGTTCCTAAAATAAAGTGACAGTCAAAATGGGCCTGAAGTTCTCCCCAGACAGCCCCTGTTTGGAATCTCAGGCCAGTGAAATATGCCTCTTCAATACACACACACTGGCATCATGCTCCCTGGACAACCCTTGGGTTTCTTTTCCAAGCACGGTGTCGTAATGAGGCATGTGTAAACTTGCACGGGGTCCCCTTTGCCTCCAAGGCCGCTCGAGGGGGATCAGAGCTCCCCCTCCACACAAGCCTGCTGTCAGAATGAACGTCAGCAAATAGAATGCTAATTAACAAAACAAAAGTAGTCTGTTTAGGGCCCTTGGGCCCTTGCACAAAAATAACAAAAAACTATATATATATATAGTGGGTTTTTGTGACACTCCAGAATCACTATAGTGTATGCAAATTTCAGTGTAAGTAAACGGAGTTAAGATAATAATAAAGGTAATGATTGTAGCACCTTGCATTTTGCAGGACTTCGCAATTTATGGAGTAATTTGACATTCAGTGAGGTGGGGGCTGAGGTTTGAAAGAATGCGGGGAGTGGCCTTGGGGTGGCTGGAGGAAGGGAGAGGACTACCAGCTGGGATGTCATCTACAAAGTCCCCAGGGAGAGGACAATGGGGTGAATACACGGTGGTTCAGAATCTGCCTTTGAGCCTCTTAAGGTAGAAAGCCTAACTTTTCAGTGTCCAAGAGCGAAATGGGCTCAGGGACACTAACCTTTGCTAACGTTCACAGGAGACTAATGAGGAGAACATACATGCCGTTTTAGTCATTCCCAATAAGGAATATCTTTGCATGCCCACAAGCCCGTGCACCACTGTGTCCCCTATTTCCTCTTCCTCCCAGTGAGGACAGACAGGGAGAACACCCAACTCACGGGGTTACTTGTGTGTTAGCCTTGCACCTCCTTCCGGCTGCAAAAAGGAGACACATCCAGATAATGTCAGAGTTGGGGGTTTGTGGTCCGGATGCCCAGGGAAGTTGTGCCTCAACTGCCAAACACCAGCCCTAGAATTCAGAGGCCGAGAGCTCAGAAGGCCTCAAGGAAACAAGTACCATGACCAACTATTGTTCATGGGGAGAGCAACCGCCATTCTAGCCCTACTGTGTGCTAGGTGCTGGTCCCGAGTCTTGAACAATGATTGAGGAGCAGTCTCTGATCTCAAGGAGTCAGGAGCCTACAAAGACTCACATTAGTCAACAATTGGTTACAAGGTGAGAAGAGCGGGAGGAGGGGAGGGGGAGGGGGCTCCTGGAACCCACTGGACACTGGGCCCCCACTTTGGACAGAGACGCTGAGGCCAGAATGATGAGGGACATATTTTGCTCAGTGAAGACAGAGTGGGGGGAGGGGGACCGAGAACCTGGCTAAATTCAGTGCAGGCTCCAAAGCAGAGGGCAAAGTCTGAGCGTAGGGAGAGGGCTGGGAAGATAAACAAGCCCAGATGGGAGAAAGAATTACACTGTGTGGAAAGGAATGTGGACTTCATCCAGAGGATGTTTGAAAAAAAAAATGAGTAGCATGATTTACTGATAAGAAGAGAAACTGCATGGCTGGAAACACGGAAGATACGGAAACTTTTCACTCATATACACATTGCTACCTTTTGCATTTTGGACTGTAAAGATGATCACTTCTTCCAAAAATTCAAAACTAAAATTGTTTTAAAAAATACTTTGCAATTACCCTACTTTCAATGAGTCTGGCAGTACTCTGGGCTCTGGGTGAGCAAAACTTTAGAGAGCAAACCTGCCCTACCAGCTTCTAATCGATGAGGGGTTTTCAAAGCTTTATGCCTTTGGGTAGATTTCAAACAAACGAGTAATTATAACATAAACAAAATGACTGTTATATGAGAGATACAGGCTGAGCACTCTGAGCATAGGTTGGGGTAGGCTGCTTACTGTGGCTGAAGGCTCGGGGAGGTGTTATGTCAGCAGGGCTTTGGTGGGGGCAACCTGCAAACTGGGTTTTGAAGAATGAGTAGGAGTTTTTAAAAATGGAAAAATGAGGAAGGGCACCTCAAAGAGACATAGAATTATATGAAAATGCCTGAAGTGTTCTTGGAGAAACATAGATTGGGATGGTGAGTAGGGCAGCATAGGAAATTGCTGCCTAGGGGATGAGGCTATCAGGCAGGATGAGACCCAATTGCGCAGTTAGTTAACATGCTGTGTTAGGGAATATGGATTTCTTTCCTAAAAAGTTCAAACACCTCTTCATGGACATTGTCATTCTGGAAGCTGGTGAATTATCTTTAGATAATTGATTTTTTCCCTACTAGCAGAAAGAAAAACTTAATGAAAATAATTTTTTTTCTATTTTGAGTTGTTCCTCCCATAATTTTTACTGAAACCTCCTAGTTTCTGCTGGTTAAAATCAATATAATCACAGATATAAATGGGAAAACTCAGAAGTGAATGAATTGAGCTAGTCCTTTTTTTCTCCTTGTCAAGTATGTTGATAGTTGTGATTTTTGTATTTTATATAAAACGTTTCTTTTACCAAGATTGTTCCTCGTTTTTGTGTTGGGATTAACTACTATTAATATTTCATTGTTAATGAAATTGAGGCTTCCTGATGGCTTGCAGCTCCAAGCCCTGGCCTACCTCTTGTTTTTTTTGGCTTATACAGTTGGTTTTGGTTTTGGTTTTTTCAATAGGGAAGTTTCTAGCTTGTTTTGGAAAACCAAAATAACTGGTAATGTGAGATTTATATCCTTCATCACAACAATCAGCTGGGCCTGATTGGAGCCTGTCCCCTTTACGGGGACTTTAGGTTCCTATCCAACCTAAATTCCACCGGACTCCTCTAGGCCTTTGGGTAGATGTGGGCTCTCCCAGGCAGTTGCTCCGGATTTCCACCAGGGGGCGCTGCCATCAGCGTTTTGGAGAGCAGGGCGGGGAGGAAGTGCTTGCCGCTGATCCTATGGGGCAGTGAAAGGAAGTCCTCCTTTCCTTCCTGGCGAGTAGTAAGTCCTAACATACAACTTCACTTGACCCAACTCAGTGCAGAGTCGGGACTAAGAGTAGTTTGGGGGCTAAGTTTTTTTAAATAGACTGGAGAGAAACAAAGCCACACTTTATACTACCCCTGATACTTGAATATTTTGAATATTTTGCAGCCTATAAATTCTGTCAGGGACAGAATGTTATTTGGTCCTCACAGCAATCCCGTGTCAGAAGTAGGATAAGGTGTCTATTCCTGTACTAGCCGAGTCACTCAGCGTTGTGTTGCCTAAGAGCGCCCACCCAGCAAGAAAGAGGGAGGTCCACCCCACCATGGTGGCTTCCTCACACCTTCCCTATGTGGAGAGGAAGAAGAGAGACAAAAGCCCTGGACAGAGAGAGGGTGCCAAGAATACGTGGCTATAGGCAGGGAGCAAGGAACGGACCGGCCCGAGGAAAGAAGTTGAGATGGGTCTGTCACAGCAGATTTCCTCATTGCATGGTGGCCTTCCATCACAAACTGGAACTTGTGGGTCTACCGGTGTACGTTGGGCACAGTAAAATCTCAGTTTACAGTTGATCAATAAATGATCCAAGGAATTTATTGGGCCTCTACATGGATATGGGAAGGGATATCAGATATGATATCCCTTTGGTATCAAGAGCCAGTTTGTGGGGCCTTGGGTTGATGACACTGAGGGTCAGGGACCTGATCACCGCTGGCAACCTGGTCCTGGGTGTCCCCCAAGCTCCTCTGATGATCACGTGTCTTGCAGCTTGCATTTTGAGGATGTTATCAGCCAGGATGCAGAATCCTGCTTCCTCTCTCCGTTTTCAATTGCTTTTTCTCTGTGTTTGTTTTCTTTGGCTGCTGCAGGGAGCTCAGCTTTTCATCTCAGCAGCATGTGTCCTGCTCAGAATGAAGGAAGAAGGGCTACAGCAGGATTCACGTGTCCGGGAAGAGAGAGAATCTCCATGTGTGGGGCTGGCCTTTCCAAAACATGGCCCCTCTAAAGTAAATGCCTGTTGATATGTCCCTCCAACCTCCCTCGCTCCTCTCACTCCCTCAAAAAGAAATTCTATCACGTGTCTCCTGACCCATGGTGTCTCACAAAATAACCTCTATTTCTCAGGCTCCCTTTGGTTCTATTCATTGATTAATTTATTTAACCTGCCAAAGTCTTGAACATCTTTTGGAAGCATGACCAGAAAATCATGGCTTAGGTGTGATCTACTTACTCTACGACACCTGGGCTGCAAGCATCGTCCTGTGAATTTCCTAAACCTGAGATGCAAGGCACATATTGTAGATGGCGTGGAACTGCCTGGCAGACGTCCACCATAGGACTCTATGGATGCTGGAACTCCCAATCTTTTTCATTTTCCTCCTTCATTCTGTTCAAATCTCCTGTGATTGAATATTCAGAACACAGTCAATGTTAATAAAACAAAAACGCTTTTGAGACATTTAAATTCTCAAAGGCTTCTGTGCACAGGTACGTATTGTTCCACCACACACGTTACGCCAGGTGCAGTGGCTGCTGGAGGCGTTGTGCCAAAGTCCAAGTAGCTGGCGCCCCCCCCCCCAAGGGAGATCATCTCAGTGTGGCCCCCGAGGTCCCACCCAATCCGATCCACCTTAACTCTGTCTCCCCAGGGGTGGCATTCTCATCCCTCCTCCTTTGCCTGCAACATCACCAGAGGATCATCCCTTAATTGAACAACAAGGGGTATGGGATAGATAGAAAGCGCCCCCTAACCCCCATATTTCCCAGGGAAAGGAGGATCCCACAGAATCCTCCTAATAGTTTTGGCCAATTGTCATTCTGAGAGCCACACAAAGTCTAGTGTACAGATCACCTGGACAACCTGCATATGATATGTGTGTGGGGGGTGGGAGCGGGGAGGAGAAGGCTGACCAGAGCAGGAAAAGCCAGCGCATCAGGTTCTACCTGAGAAGGAAAGCGTGGCCAGGAAGGTGGGGTTTGGAATCGAGTGGACCTGGGCTGTCTCCTGCAAGGCCCGGTGCCCTCGTGAGGCCGCTCTGCCTTCGTTTCCTTGTTTAAATCATGGGGATAATAATATCTGTGTCACTGAGTTGATACGAGGATGAAACACCTAATAGGACCTGAATTTTCCGGACCAGGAGAGTTCCTTTCCTGCACACAGCGGCGCCTCACACGCATGCACAGAAGACACCCCACCCCCCACCCCCCCAGGGCCTGGAATGTGCCTCTCAGCCAACTCCAGTGTCCAGAGAGACCAACTGGGAGAGTGTGTACCGTAAGTCCCGCCTCCCCCTGGGAGGCCAAGGTCAGGGACTGGGCCAGTCACGTAACTGCCCAGGCTCCAAGGTGAAAATGACAAGAACCGCGCAGTAAAGAACTGTGGCAGCAGAAGAAAACCCTAGGACTTGGCCTTGTACGTTATTATATTTCTGGCCCGGCAAAGAGGCATTGTGCAAATTAAATAAACAGCAGCCTTGGCCTTGAGCTCAAAGGACTTTTGGCGTTCTTCTGTTTCTCCCCGCAGCTGGTGCCCTCTCTGCTGCTCAGGCCAGAATCGGAGAGACTTCTGTAAGTCCTCTCTGTCCCTCATCCCTACACTCACCTCGGCAAATACTGTCACTTCGGTTTTCTCAGTAGGCCCCAGGGAGCCCTGCTCCTTCTCACTGTCCCCGGCAACAGGCTGTCTCTTCTGAACAACCTAACGGCCGGGGCGTCCCTCTCACCTCAGCCATGCCCATCCTAGGCCCAGCCTGTCCCCACCGCAGCGAGGAGGGTCATTTCAAAGCAAGGAATCGACCCCACTGTCGCCCTGCCCCATCCTCACTAAGAACCGTTCATCAGAAGTTTCCCCTCACTTCCCCTCACCGCCGAGGTCCCCAGGGCCCTTTGCTGCCTGACTCTCACCTCTCCATGGGACACCCCCGCTCTCCTGTGTGGTGCTCCAGCCACGCTGGGTTCCCTTTTGTGAACAGAGCTGAGCTCCCGCCCCGCCCAGGCGTCCCTTCTTCTGACAGCTTTGCGCAGCCTCCTCCACTCAAGGAACACCTGCCCCAGGACTGTCGTGCCCCCTGACAGGCCTCCCTGCCCACCCACTGGGGGCTCCAGTCCCCTGCTTTGCTTCCTCTACAGCAGTTGTTGATTCATTTGACTTTGCCCCGTGATCTGCCCCTCACTGGGAGGCAAGGGGCAGGCGCCATGACCTTGGCTACTGTGTGGTGTGCCTGGTCTGTGTCGGGCACAGGGCAGGTGCTCAGGTAACACTTGTGGGACAATTGTCTGAGCGCTGAGTGTGTGACAGAAGGAAGGGACTGATAAATGAATGACACCACATGGCCAAGCACTGTTCTCTGATTCTCCAAGATGCAGTGCCATAGCGGGGTGGGGGGGAGGTCCAAGCAGACACCCACATACCTGACCTCAGGTTGGCTGAGAGCCTCAGGAATCCCCAAGGGAACCTTGAGTCCTGGGCCTCCAGTGCCCCCACCCCTCTCTCTGGACTGTCTGCATTTTGTCTGTCTTTGCCTGCACATCGGCAAAGGTCCACTGAGGCCCTACTATGTGCCAGGCACTGTCCAAGACCCACAGTCCCTGCTGTCATGGAGCTTACATTCCAGTGGGGGGAGTGAGACCCCAAACAAGAGAGCAACGGATGGAGAAGTAAACGCACAGGGGGACAGCAGCGAGAGGGTGCTGGGATGGACAGTCACACCCTCGGATGGGGGGAGGCTTGGGTGAGATCCCACCTTCTCTGCCTCAGTCTCCTCATCCATGAAATGGGCTGATGGCACCACGGGGCACTGTTCACACGTAAGTCAGGTCCTGCCCTTGTCTGCTCAAAGCCTGCAGTGGCGCCTCGTCGCACGCTGAGCAAGAGCCGTGTCTTCACCACAACCCACAAGGGCTGCAGGACCTCTGTCCCCAGCTCCATGCCCCCAGCTCCCTAAACTCATCCCTTCCTACTCTATGCCCCAACTCCCTGTGTGCATCCTGCTGTTCTCAGTCAGGCCAAGCCACACTCGGGACAAACTCCACTCACTTCCATGTCGTTCCTAGGGCAGCCCCATGACCAGACCCCTGAACTGCCTGGTCGGGGTCCCACTCTTCCTGCCACCCACACACACTTTCTTTTTTTTTTTTCTTAGAGGGAAGGCCTCTTTTATTTTATTTTATTTTATTTTAAGATTTTTATTGGGGAATTGGGGGATGGGAACAGCGCTGGGGAATTGGGGGAAGGGGAACAGACGAGTTGCTGTCGTTTTGTTCTTCAGTCTAGTTGTGGAGGACGTTGCTTCACTGTCCTAAGTTGGCACCATC